AGAGCCAGCCAATCAATGGATTGATGTTCTCGTGCCTCAAGCCATGGGCCATTACTAGGAGATCCATTGCCTTGGATCGCAGTTCTGCGGAACCATTCATGTGGATCTCCTTGAGCTGCACCAGATCCCCGTTGTAGCGCGCTCTCATGTCCAGATGTGCGGGATTGTGCCTGGCCAGGCTGCCCGTGGCGGAGGAGCCTCTCTTTCCGTTCACCGTGGTCGTGGTGGAGCTCCCCACAGCACCCGTGGAAGCTGCTGCTCCGGGTATCACAAATCCCAGATTCTTAAGCGATCCAATGGAGCCCTTAAGCAGATCGGGTTTGTCCACTTCGGGGCCACCAAACTCCTGGAGCTGCTGCAGCCAACAGCAGAGCATGGCCTCAATGCCCTCATCCACCTGGAAAGGAAAGAGATTGGGGGTCAGAAAGGGGTACTCCCAAAGACTGTAACTTTTTCTTACCCTTCGTGAATCCACGGGAAAGACAAAGTCACTGGCGGATAGGACGATCTTATTGGGTCCTTTGGAGAGACGCTGTCGCAGGAAATAGTTTCTGAAGGAAAAAGTTCAGGAGTTACCATCAGACCTGACACCTGCTTAAGATGTTGTCTATTTAAACAAAGCTGAAGAGCTACTTGGAAACGGAGGAGGCTCAATTAGCTCTAGCATCCAATCAAGCACACACCTCCCCCTCCCTCTTGTCCTGGACACATCTTCTGCTCCAGTTGCTCCTTCAGCAATGATTCTTCACCCCTCTGCCAATGCAATCTGCATCCATTAACCCATCCGACCCACCCACAGGACTCAGACCTTTTGGCTTCGTTGCGGTTCGGACTATAAAAACTTTTTACTACCACATTCTTAGTTACACCTAACAGTTCTGTACCGGTTGTGGGGGGCTGGACCCCCAGTACTTCGTGGATGGATGGGGTGGTCCAGCTGGAGGCGGGAAAACCGCAAATTCATGCAGCAATTGTTATGCCAGAAGTTTGTTCGGCCACGTGGCCACCGCCTGGCCCAAAGTCAAGACCGGGTTAAGTGTATTAAGGGGCATTAATGGGCTACACTCTAAGTAGGGCAGCAAAAACTCTTTTCGGCCACACGTGTACCGGTTGTTAACTAGATTTGCAAACTCCCAACCTTTGCCCAGGAAAAAGACAAACGGAAGCTGGCATTAAATTTACTATTTTCCCGCCACTCCCCCATTTATGGCAGAACTTTTTGGGGGCTTAACTAAGGGAAAAGTTTTGTCTGTGTGTGTCTGTGTGTGTGTAGGGTGTTGACAATGATTCCGGGATTAATGAAAAAAGAGGTTACGCAAGGTCATAGATCAATCAATAAAAGAAGAAGCGGAAAATGTAAATATATACAAGGTTCCTTCCATAATCCCAATATTTCTGAAGGAATGAAAGCCTCTTTATTTTGTATATTTTCCATTTTTGCATGCCGCGGATTATGGCTTCACTTTGTCCAATGGTAGACCCCAAGGGTATTTAAGCATCGTTGTTATGGGTTAATTTTTTTCCATATTTCCCCTTGATGGGGCGGTGTTTCCCCCTTAAGTGTTTCTCGTACAGGTGTGTCCATGGACGGCCTTGGTCGGCCATTCGTTGGGTTCTCTTTTGCTACCCTTTAAAAGGGAAACTCGGGTTTTCCCAACCCCACAAAACGTTGTATATTGGCGGAGTCTGCGGGCAAAACAGCTTGGAAAACACTTCTTTGTGAGCAACTACCTCTTTGTTCCAAAAGATAATCCCTCGCACAGCAAATTTTAATCAAAAATGAATAACCAAATCATACAGCTTTCACCCAAACAATGGCGCCACAAAAGGGTATCTAAAGCCGCGTCCTAGGAGGCTAGCCGGCCATTACCATTTGCTTCCTGTTTGTCCTTTTCTGTTTTTGCTCCTCTCTCTCGCGCTAATTAAAACTTCATGAGTTGCATTTTAGCGTGTCTGGGAAAAAAGCATCTCTGATTGCTGCGGTTTAAAGTTGTGTGCTAACTAGTTTAAAGCGAACGCTTTTTAGTTAATGAGAAACAGAGAGAGAGAGAGAGCGAGTCTGATGGTCAAGGCAAAACACGATGTGGTCTAGGGCTGACACCTCGGGTGTCCTCCTCCTCGAACCGGAAAATGTCGGTGGCATGTCAAACAGTAAATGATTTGTTTCAACCGCAGTTGATGTGTTTTTTTCTACATAAATGTCAACTGCCAGGAATTCCACCTGCACACCTGTGTGTCTGCTTGTGTGTGTGGCAACCTGTTCTACGCTTTGATGAATGCAATTAATTAATTAAATGCTTGTTTTAATGGCCCAACTATGGGAAGAGTGAGCTGGTCGAGGACTCGTGTGAGTGGAGTGTGCGGTTGGCTATTGATTTTCAAGTACAATATATATGATTTCAATCAGGCCACAGACTAACCAATTTGAATTTGACATTAACTGTTTCGATATATCATCAGTGATGCATGCAGACCCTTGACTTTGGGCCTGCATAAATCATGTCCGAGTGCGGGCCATGATAATTAGGCGGCCAAATATCCAAATGTGGCTTAAAGGCAATCAAAAGCCAAGTGGCGACGTCTTTGGATCAATCAAAGTGGGTTTGGGTATCACTTGAGATGAGTGCAGACCATCTATAGAGCACTCAGAATTGATTAGCAGTAAGTCACTCTGACTATAGATGTACTTAAATAATAATAGTTTCAAGGTTAAGTATCAGTCTACAGATGTTTCTGATTGCCTTTGGATCCTTATGATATCTATTGATGGCACTCTTTATAGAAGTATCAAAATGGGATTATTAAAAGTGGATATATATATAGTAATCATCGTATATATTCCGCCTAGGAATGGCATCAAAAGACCAAGCCATGACCTCAGTTACTTAATATTCCTTTGAACTTTGCTTGCCCCCAAGAGTTCCTAAATTCCATGACAAATGCACAAAATGTTTCATCCGATACTAGACCCCAAATTACTGCTTTTACAGCGCAGATGCATCTTCGTGGCTAATAAAATTAAAAGCGAAATTGAATTACATTTTATTCGATAGCACAACACAACACTACAATTTCCCGGTGTGGGGCGATGTAAAGCAATTAGCATCCAACCAATAGTAAAGGTGGAGGACCAGCAGAGGAAAAGCGAAGCAGCGAGATGAAAATGAAAATTGCCAAGCGCAAAAATATATATTTTATGCCCAATACCATGGTTATTGGGAGGCCATTGCGTGGGATAAGGAATGGATTTACAGTAAAGATGAACGAGAGGCAGCCTTTTTGGGGCGTGCTAATTGATTATTTTGCTGGCGAGGGAAAAGTTTTCTGTTGCTGCTGGAAAAAACCGAATCTTAATTACGCCCCAAAAGCCTCTGTTTCATCTTGAATTTTGAGGAGCGTGTTCCGGCTTACAAATTCACACGAATTTCCACTTAAGATTTGTGCTTTACGAGTGTCCTTCCCCACTATGATGGCTGGTTATGTACTAGATAAATCAAGACTCACCTTAGGGCTATGCCGGCGGCCACGCTGCCTGCCACAATGATCATCAGGAGGCCCACACAGATGGCAACGATGGTCCAACAGATGGCACCGCAATGCCACAATTGGACACTGCTCACCAGCAGCCATTCATCGTAGCCCGGTTGCACGGAATGGGTAATGTAAGAGTCGCCGCTGGCCCCATCCGCACTCACCAACCTCCTCCTGTCACTCCACTCCAGGATGAGCAGCGGCCGCCATTTGTAACTGGTAGCTACCACCTGAACGTTGGCATCCCGCACAATGTCCAAAACTATGAAATCATATTTGGGAATGGTTTCCGTTTGGCTGGCATTCGATGGGACCGCCGCTGTGGCAATGTGCGTGACAATCAGATCGTAGAGGGGAAAGAGCTTTATGTAAGGGTAAAGTTTGTCCACACTGGCATTGTGATGGGCCCCGGTCATGGTCCCACTGGTCGAAGCGTCATCGTTGTGCTGCTCTCCCTGTGGCATCCGAAAATTCTGCATTGTGGCCATCAGACCGGCGGCATTCAGAAAGTGTCGATGCTTATCGCTTAGCAGAGTCAGCACCAACAGATTGCTGGTGACCAGGCCCGAAACAGAGCTCGAGTTCCCTCCAGCCCCGCCCTGCTGCAGTGGCAGTGGCAGTGGATGGCGGCGGCGAAGGCGGGCCAGATATTTGTAGAAACGATGTTCGACATTCAATGAGCTGGCCACCATATCGATGAGCAGTACTTTCGTATGCTGTTTGGTCGACGGCGCCGCATCCTCCAGTTGGTAGTCAGCCTCATCCTCCACCTTTTCCATGCTCGCCAGCAAACGGAGCGTACTGTCATCGTTCAGTGGGGCCGTGATAATAATTGCTGAAAGTCGAAACCCCAATGCAATGAGCCCGTCAACAGTAGCAGCACCCAGTAGCCAGTAGCCTGTCCAGCTGTACAGTGGGGGTTTTTTTTTGTTTTGGGTACTCACCTTTGCCTGGCTTATCCTGGCCATGCAGGTCACGTACTGTCCTGCCAATTTCAATGCGATATGGTACATGCAAGTTGGCCGCTATGGCCAGTCCTAGGCCCCAATTGTCGTCTGCAAAGAGAGAGACACGGAGCGATAGAGATATGTATGCTGTCGAAATTAAATTGCGTTTTTGTGGCACGTAAAGTGTTGGTGGTGTCATGTATCTGTCTGTTTTGTTGCACGCTGCTGTATCTGATGCCTCTCTAGTTTTGGCTCCCTTTTATTGGGTTTATAATTTGGCATGGTAGTGGTAGACCCTGTTTTAGGCCCAGCATTCGGACTCGTTCTGGTTTCATAATGAGCTCTGTTTTGAGGGGTTTTGTGTGTGGTTTGCTTATGCAAATGTCACCGAACGAAAGGTCAACCAAAGAGTTGATAGAGCAAACTTTTGTTGTTGTTGGTTTATTGAAGAGTATTCTGAGAGTGAAAGAGTTCACTGGGAGGTTTAAACAGAATTTATTAGCATAGATATCATACGATATACATTTCTAGACAATTATTCCCACTATATTTGAGGGTTTGCAGGCAGCAACAATTATTTAAATATGTATATCGCAAACATCAAGATATTGAAGGAATAAAACTAAATTTCAACACAATTTAAAGAGAAGAAAGAAAGAAATTAATAGAATTTGCAGTGGCAATTTCTGAAGCCAGGACGCTGAGGCTTCTTTGGGGGTTCGGCGGCTGCCTTTTCGGGCTTCTGGCAGGGCGCCTCGGGTGGCAAATCACAGCCCTTCTGAGCCATAAAGTGGCAATTTCGGCGAGCCGCCTCCGGACACGGACACTTGTCCAGGCTGGCATTGTCTAGCCGAGCCTTGAACTGCTGCTCGGTGATGGGGGGCCGAGGCACATATTTGTTGCGATCACAAGCGATGATCCTCCAGTTGGGATGAGCGCGAAGGTAGTCGGTGCCGTTCTCCAGAAACTCTTTGGCCAGCTTCTGGCAAGCCACCGGATCATCGACGGCATCCCGGAGCTGGCTCTCGAAGTAAGCGTTCTCCTCCGCCTGGAGGCGTTTCATTTCTATGACCTGTTCATCCAGAGCGGCACGATGACGGAGCTTCGCGCAGAACTTCATGGCGTGGGTGACCTCCGGATGAGCGAAGCGATTCTCGGGCATTTTGTTCTCCCGCACTTCGGCCTCCAGGCGCAGACGTCGCTCGGCCTCTTCGCAGATCTGCAGCTTGAGGATTTCATGGCAGCGGGCCGCCTCCTCACGCTTGAGACGCATCGTCTCTGCAATGTTGTTCTTGGTGCAGATGTCCACCTTGTAGAGGTCGGCCGTGCGGTCGTCCAGCATCTTCTCGATGCCCAATTGGAGGGCCTGCATGCGCCGCACATAGGCCAGATACTCGTGGGTGGATCGGTGAAAGTCCCGCTTGGCTTGGGCGATCTTCTCTCTGGCCTCCGCCTCCAGGCGCTCTGTTTCGCGACAGAAGGCGGCATGCTCGGCCTTTTCGGCCTCCCATATGGCCAGCTTGGCGCACTTGCGGCGATGGATCTCCTTCAGAAGCTCGTCCCGGTAGGCCAGATTCTTGGGAGGGGCAGCCTGGTGCTCCTTGTCGAATTCCTCGAGACGTATCTCTTCGATTAATTCGTTCAGGATGCGGGCATCCTCGCGCTTCTCTTCATCTTCACGCGCTAGCTTCTCGGCGTTGTCGAGCATTTGGACGGCCAGGACGTTCTTCATCTGCTCCTTGATCTTCTCGCGTCGCTCGTTTTCGCACTTCTGAGCGCAGTCGTACTCCTCCCAGCGTCTGCGGTTCAGCTCCAGCCAGTACTTCTCCTGCTCGCATTCGCGCCGCTTCTTGCGTTGATTTTCGAGGATCTGCTCCTCCTGGATGATTTTTGTCTCGATCAGATCCTGGTGACGCAGTGCCTCGCGTATCTCGTAGCAGTTGAGCATCACCTGTTGGATGCGTTTTTCCTCGAGGAACTTATTCTGAACCTTGTGGTGGTCCTCCGTGATGGCATGCAGATGCTCCTTGCGGTCCTTAATGTCCTGATCGATGCGGTTCTTCACCGTATTGGCGAACTCCTCCTCGTAGAACTTGTCCTCCTCGTCGAGAAGGTTCTTCAAGCGAAGACTCCGCTCGTTCAGCTCCGCGGCGGCAATTTCCTTGGCCTTCTTGACCAACAAACCAATTTGGGAATGCAAACTCTTTCGATCCGTGCGCTGGATGAACTGGAAGTGCTCCTGGCCATGACCCGACTCTTGCATGTTGCACAATTGATTAATATATTGCCCAAAGTATAGAGTATTGTAAAAAAGAAACTATGGAAAATATTCTGAATTTCTCAAGTTGTGTCTACGTTTTGTTCCGGAATGAGTTGAAGGGTAGGAATAAGGGCAGGGACAGATATGGAAGGGAAAGGCAAAGGCATGTCAAAACGGATCCAAAATCTACCTTTAACATATTGAAACAGTTCTCTCCCCCAAGCTTCCTGAACAACAAAGCTCTATCCCCATCAAAATCTGCATGATTAATGTGCCACTCAATGGCGGAGGTGCAATCCACAAGACAAACAAACACACAATGCACCGCCGCGGCTCCATTAAACTGTCTTATGGTTCTGGCCCAAAGTGTTCCATAGATCATGAAAGCAAATGCCAATGCCCATAAACTCCCGCCAATAGATTTCGCTGCATTATCATGCTCAATGTGCAGAGTTCTAGACATAATTTATGAGTATCACACGCAAGGCACTCGAATGCTGTCTGATTTGTGGCTGGAAATGGTTAGGAAATTGCTATAATTTTCTGACGAAAAGCTAATATGACATTACGCATACGCAGCGTTGTCAAACGTGTCATTTTTGCAATTGTTCAGCGATGTGTGAGCTACAAATTTAATTAGAACTGACGTGAAGGGGTCGTTCTGTGTGGTACAAAAAGTTTATGGAAAAAACTTGTGGCAGCTAGAAGCTGCTTTAGGCAATTTTACTATCACTTTTCCCTCGCTCTCTTGTGTCCCTGGGCCTCTATAAACTCAATTAGCAATGCAGCTGACAACACGCTAATTAACTGAGATGTGAGCTGGAAAAACTTGCCAAAACACTTGGCCAGGAACAGGAAAAGAAGCACCTAAGATCCTGCCTGCCCTGGCCAAAAACTTTATGGCTGAGCTGCGCAGAGTGCCGGAGCTCCTTCGCCTCTGCGATTGGCATGGAAGTGCATGTTTGCCCAAGTGCAAAATTGTGCAATTACGCAGCTCTGCGGAGATATACCAACAACGAGGACGAGAACGAAAACGAAAACGAAGACGACATCTTGCAATGCAGCCTTCGTCTTAGTCATACGTCGTATGGAACGCTGGCTGGGATTTCCTTTTTTTGTTTTCTTGGCCATATTCAAGACAAAGTTTCAGGCGGCAGGAATATTTCAGGGCGATTTGCATAGGGCTCCCCCTCGCGAACGATAATAAAATGTAATAACTGCCAGCGCAGAGCAGAGACAACCATTTCGAGTGAGTGAGTGCCTGATAAGCCATTGCAGCTGTTCTGTTCTTCCGAGGCCTGAAGGCAGGATACGGTTTCTGATTAATGTAGAGCTGCTCTTCACCATGATGGAATGAATTCTTACTTTATTATGGTTGTGGCATCTGTGCCTGGGATTCAGTGAACCATTCACTGCTACTGTGCTTAATTTTTCGGTATTCTTTTGGGCAAGGCCAAGGCTCACTTTACTTGGAGGTAGGACTGTAGGAAAGGCGCATAGCATATCGCTGACTGTCTGTTGCACACACACACACACACACACATAACGCGCAAATGCATTGGACTCTCTCTGGCACACAAGGGCTCTCCTCCTCCTTTCTCGCACATAATGCACACCCACACAGATGAGCGCTCTTCATGTTCATATTTGCACTTGTGCTTTTCATACCGAGCTCTCAAAGAGTTAAAGGGTATATGCTATTCGAGGGATAGTTAAAAGATGCAAGTTGTTTTGAAAATATTGAATACTAGAAGACTCTAAAATAAATACCAAAAAATCCAATACCAAATACCAGAAAATAAAAAGCAAAAATGATAAATTGAATTATGATAAAAATTGGTCTTAAATGAGGCAAGATAACATTTTTTTTTTCTTAGAAATGCATAGAATATAGATTTGAAATTATAAAAAATATATAAATATTTAAGATTATAATTTAATCGTACTTTTTAAACATTTGTCACTATTTTTCCAAAGTTATATTTTCCCACCTTCTGTCTGATCTGTGATTGCGAAAACTGGCCCTTTCTACACATGATCCCGAAGAGCTTTACTTCCTACTGGGTATCTGTTGTTCGATTCCCTCGACCTTGGCTCATTTTTATACATTTAAATATTCATGCGCTCGACTCAAAATTTAAATTGCGGCGCGTTCACTCGAAGCTGTGTCAGTGTGGGTATCTGTGTTGGTGTGTGAGTGCCTACATTTGTGTACATATGATTATATCCGTGTATGCATAGTGCTTTTAAATCCACAGCATTTGCGTGTGGGAGTATGGGTTAGCCAGCGAGTCTGGTCAGCCAGGCGTTGTTATTTACAATCAACTCTCCCAGCACCCAGCACCCAGCACCCACTACTCAAACCCCAGCAGCCGACATACACCAAAAAAACAAGAAAGAAATGCTTCAATCAAATGCCGAAGCTTTAGATGCACTTGCCGGGTCATAGTTCATATGATATTACTAGTATTTGACCTGAACTTAAGTTCCTGATTCAGAAGTTAGCACATACTTTCTCTCAAAATTTAAATAAAAATAATCACCATACCCCTTGTAAGTGTATAAAAGGTAAAAAGGCGTTCACACACACAAAAAAAAACCCTCAAAGAAAATAGGTAAAGAGGAAAAACTGCATTGGAAAATCCATAATACAACAGAGGCCACAGCGCAGCGCCAACCTAGAGCACTGTCCTCCTCCGCCGCCTCCTTTCCCACCTCCTCTCTCTTTGCCGCACATCAAAAATTTCCAGCGGGTAAACGAAATAAATGCGTCGTGCTGCGCTTTTCCTCTCCGTTAGGGTTACATAGTTAGAAAGTTATTTCTTCTTGTTTTTTTTTTTGGACACTGCAAAATCGGAAAATGTAAGCAACAAAAAATTGGCTGAAAATATACAGAAGCACAAATAAATGGACGGGCAGGTAAATAAATTGGCCAAAACCATAAAACAGAATGGCGCAGAGTGGGGCAAGTCCTCAGAGGAATTGTGGGATGCTGTGGAAATTGTAGCAGATTGTGGGGCGCTGACTGGATCCGCATTCATTTATCTAAACGAAGCCACATGCAGTGCAGTGCAGTGTGGCTGCTGCTGCTGTTATTGCTCCTTTTCTCTGAAATGTAATCAACACATGTCACACGTGGCGTATACGTTATATCATTTGCATAGGCGTATGCCAAGAAGAGATGATGTCAACGCTGCTGTTGTTTGGCTTTAAAATTGATGGGAAATAGATCGAGATGTCGTTATATGGCCTATGAAGGATTAGCAGATGAATAGAGAAGGGGATACCACAAAGACTTTCTGATATCTTATGTACATATTTTTAAAACATCTTTCTGTGAATTAAATAGTTGATATAGCAAGCATTGAAGTGCATCATTTTTGTGAAAGTTACTCCCCTCAAAGGCAAAATATTCATGAATGCAGTTAAGCAAGGAAACTGACTTCTCAAAGAAAATTATTCTTGAATTTCAAACACCCAGACTTCATGGAGAATTAAACACACATACATAAAGCTATCGGGAATATGTCGGAGCACACACCCTAATTTTCGAAAGTCAAGCCACATGTTCCACACTCCCCATCCACTGACCGCTGACCATTAAATTGTCATCATAAACTTGTCCCTTCATCAAAAACCACTTTCACATCACAGATGGCCCCCTTTCAACATGTAGTTGAAAGTTCCATTAAGGGATATGGGCTTACAACTTAACATGACAGCCTCTGATCTGCCGAAAAGTTGTGGAAACATTACTTTAAAATTATTCGCACATTTGCATGCTTCCGAAGAGGGTGGCATTCAAAATGAAGCCATAATTTACTTTCTGCCGCATAAGATATGCCACACTCTCTCTTTTTATTTAATTGCAACATTTTCGAGGCGGCAGACACCTTATCGTGACGGTGACAGGCAGCATAAAAACTTAAATATAATTAAGTTTATTTTATGGACCCGTGTGTGTGTGTGTCCGTGTTCGTGCCCGTGTCGTGTGCGTGTGTGGGAGGTGGGAAAGGGGGTGAGTGCAAAACTTATGGCATACTTTGCAGCTGTACTCTTGACAGTTCTCCCGCATTGTTGCACGGTTGCTCAATTGTGGGAGGGGGATGGGATGGTATGGGATGGTATGGAATGGGCGGCGGAAAAGTTGCTGCAGTCCATTGAAATGCAATTAAACTTGCAAATTGCTTTTGCTATACACACAATTTACATAATGCAGCAGAGATATAATCTTTGAACAGAAACTTTTGCCCCATAGTTCAATTGAGTGGATTGGATGGAGGGGTTCTACTCAGCAGACGTCGACCCGTCACAGATTTCTTGTTTCGCATTGCCAAGAGTATATAAAGATTTCCGATACAGATTGCAATTTTTTGTCTTTGCCTTTCAGCCAAAGTCAATGTGAAAGTCAAAGCAATCAGTGAAAATGGAAAAGCTTATGCCATATGGCCGGCCACCTTTTTTATGGTCGCCAACTCCATTAGCTGTCACTTAGTGTAAAACAAATCATAAATGCTGCTTGGACAGCAGCAGAGCTCTCCCCTAATTATGCTGTCATAAAAAGGGAGGCATTCCCATCAGCAATGTTAATGGGGCGTGGCTTTTGGTCCAGCCTTGTCCCCAGGCCCCGGACCCATCACGTTAATTGTTAAACACTTGAGATTAATGTTGGGCTTGGACCATCACCATCCGACCGCTCTCAGTCTCTCTCTCTTGCCACCATTTAATGGCGAATTTATAGACAAAGATGTTGCAGCATTATTCATAAAAGTTAGGGTCTTCCGCCGCCTAACGCATCCCCCACAGGATTCATGTGGGGCATAAATCAAAGGAGGTGTGCGTGCTGCCTCCTGTTTGCCCAACTAAGCGGCCATCAGGGGCTGCTAGATCCTACTTCTGGTCCTGTTCGTTGCCGCCCCTCCACTCTCCAGCTGCTCCTCCGCAGATGTGTGAATCGGACTGGAGGTCACGTTCTATAGATGTTGACTGTGTTGCATTTGTGTGTGTGTGTGTGTGTGTGTTTGTGTCTGGGGGGTGGCTTAAGGACTT